ATATATATATAAAATTATTTTTATAATTATTTTCTCTAAGGCGTATTTCTACGTCATCATTAAAAGAGATATTTAATTGTTCATGAAATACCTATAAGCTTATTAACTTAGTATATGCTAAATTATTGTAGTTAACATGGTTCAAAAATGGTCAGAGAATTCGAGATTCTCAACGACTAGAAACGAGCTACTCGAATCAGCAGGCTACTTTACGAATTCGAGTCGCTTTGCCAGAAGACAGTGGTCATTATACATTATTGTCTGAGAATCCTCAAGGTTGTACCGTTAGCTCCGCTTATCTAGCAATTGAATCCAGTGATCAAGTAGATCAAGTTCTGTATCAAGCGCATCAAAAGGAATTTATCAAGACTCAACAAATAGATTCAATCAATGAATCTGTTGATTCTAGTAAGGTTCTGCCACCGAATTTCGTTCGTACCATCACAGATAAGGAAGCTACCGAAGGCAAAATGACGCGGTACGTTTTGATTTGTTTTATTTTTAGTATCTTTCCTTCTTTTCTTTCGTTCTTAAATATAATTTTCGATGAATAATGTTTATGATATTAACATGAGATATTAACAAACAACATATTTCAGATTCGACTGTCGCGTAACTGGCCGTCCATATCCTGAAGTCACTTGGTATATAAATGGCCAACAAGTCGCCAATGACATGACTCATAAAATCCTTGTAAATGAATCTGGTAACAATTCATTAATGATCACGAATGTGAATCGCGCTGACGCTGGCGTAGTAACGTGCATTGCGCGGAATAAAGCCGGCGAAACTTCTTGTCAATGCAATTTAAGCGTTATCGAAAAAGAACAGGTAGTTGCACCGAAATTTGTCGAACGTTTTGTTACAACGGGAGTAAAGGAAGGAGAGCCTGTGATCTTTATGGCACGTGCAGTCGGCACGCCTCTTCCACGAATCACATGGCAAAAAGTATAATAATTTATTCGACTTTTATTTGCTTATATAATCACAATTTCCCTAACACCAAAAATTTTTGCAGGATGGCGTACCGATAATGCCTAGTCCCGAAATACGTATATCGAGTGATGGTAACGGAGCTTCGACTTTAGACATCCCATGCGCCAAATTTTCAGATGCAGCCTGGTACCAGTGTACAGCGCAAAATATAGCCGGCTCCACCGCAACTCGAGCACGGCTCTTTGTAGAGACGCCAAAAGGAACGACCCCGGAACCAAGACGCCTGAATTTACCCCGACCAACGAAAGTCATCGAACCAGAGTGAGTTGATGACTTCTTAAGTGTTTATCAAATTAGCAAATTAACATTGATCTTTCCATGTTTTATTTTATATCGCCATTGAAGCGCAGATAAAACGTAGAGTCAGAACTTTATACTATTCATAAAATTGACTTTTATTTTTTTTAACAAAAAATCTATTGACTTTTAATGAGATAAACTCAATAATAAATATTTGTGAGATAAAAAAAACTGAACAATAAATATTTACAGACCAGCGCCTGGCCCCGAAGTGATTTACCTGAGACATGTGGAACGCGCGAAACCTTTTTTGCCGCCTTCTGAAGAAGACAAAATTTATCCCCCGCCACGTTTCATTATACCATTAAAAGATGTTCATCAAATCGAAGGTGGACGAATTCACTTCGAGGCCAGAATCGAACCGGTGGGCGACCCCACTATGAGGGTGGAGTGGTATGTCAACGGCAAAACACTCGACGCAAGTGAGTAAAAAACTTTTACATCTAATTTTTTTATTCAACAAAGTATTATCGAGTCAACCGATTTATATTGGCGCATATATCTTTCATAGGTTCCCGGGCGACTTCCGTCTTTCGCTTCGGTTTTATTTCACTCGATCTCATTAGCATCGTTCTTCAAGATAGCGGCGAGTATTTGTGCCGCGTTGTAAGCTCGACCGGAATTGCCGATTCTCGAGCCACCCTCAGTGTAACCCGTGAGTAAAGAATATTTTATAGATTTCTCTTGCGATAAATTATTACCTTTGCTCAATATAACTATATTCTATATAATTATAAATTATTTCTTTTTTTCAGCACGTGCCACGATTGAACAAGCAAGCCAACACCCCGATAGCCTTCAATATATTCAGCAGCTCGAGGATTATAGCAAGTATCAAAGACAGGAGAGCGTGGAGGAGACCTCTTCACAGCGACCAGTTTTCATCCGCCCGCTCCAGGATCTTGGTGAGCTACAGGAAGGTCGTAACGCCCATTTCGAGGCGCAATTGACACCTGTTAGCGATCCTACCATGAAAGTGGAGTGGTACAAGGATGGAAAACCAATCACAGCGAGTAAGTATTAATATATTTAAAAAAAAAACGATTTTAATAGTTAAAAAAAAATATTATGAAAAAACTATTAATATTAACTATTTATTAGGCTCAAGAATTACTAGCATCTTCAACTTCGGATACGTCTCACTCAATATAATGCACCTACGGGCTGAAGATGCAGGTTCTTATACTGTCAGAGCTGTGAACCGCTTAGGAGAGGCCATCAGTTCCGCGACTCTTCGTGTCTTTGGTGAGTCTTAGTTTTGTTACGGATAATTATTCTCAAACGATTTTCAAATAATTTTTTTTTCAATATTCTCGAATATTGATGTCTTAATTATTGTGTAGCGCGAACAAGCGTAACAACAGACTTGGGTATTCCCGAACAACTGAGATACATAGAGGCTGCCGAGGAATTGGAAGCATATCAACAGGCGATGCACCAAAAGTATGTGCAGGAGCAGCCTGAACCGAGTAGCCCACCGGAATTTAAATCGCCTATTAAGGATCAAAGCAGCATACGAGAAGGCGGATTCGCTCATTTTGAAGCCCGTCTCGAACCAATCAATGATGCCGATCTCCGTGTTGAGTGGCTGAAAGATGGACGACCTGTAGAAGCTAGTGAGTAATATATAATTCTTTTCACCGAAACGTATATCATATATTTGTATTCACGGAATATTTTCGGGATTAGGTTCTCGGATTACAACTTTTTTCAATTTCGGTTATGTGGCATTGACCATTAAATACGTAACGATACACGATGTTGGCGTGTATACTTGTCGAGCCTACAACAGAGCCGGTGAGGCTCACACTATCGCTCAATTAAGTGTGATCAGCAAAAATGATGTTATTTATGACAGCCAACATCCTACTGGTCTCCAAAAAATTCAGTCTCTCGAAGATTCGAGTAGATATTCGCGACAGATTCAAGAAGAAACGCAGATTACGCAAGCACCACGATTTTTGGGTAATCTTAAAGGTACCAATAAGATCGTAGAAGGTCAACGGGCGCATTTTGAGGCACGTGTTGAACCTCAAAGTGATCTAAGTATGAAGATCGAATGGTACCACAACGGCAAACCTATTACTGCCGCTAATAGAATTCAAACATATCACGATTTCGGATATGTTTCCATTGATATTCTTCAAGTTCGTCCTGAAGATGCTGGTACATACACCGTTGTAGCTAAAAATTCTCGTGGAGAAGCTCGTTTATCTGCCACCATGACCATAGAAAGTAAGATTTTACTATTTTATTTATGCAGTATTGAAGCAATTTGCAGAGAACTAAACAAAGAACTAAACAATTATTGAGCTTTGTTGATTCTTCGTTTTAGCGCGTTCCAGCATAGATACCAGCAGTATGCATCGTGGAACTTATGAAAAAACTCAACGTTTAGAAGAATCCAAATTTATTGAGCCGCAGTATCATATCGAAGAGATCTCTAAATCAAAACCAATTTTTATTCAGCCGTTGAGTGATCCTAAGCCAGTTAGCGAGGGCAAAAATATTCACTTGGAGTGTCGTTTGGAACCGATGGGTGATCCTACAATGAGAGTTGAATGGTTTCAAAACGGACGTCCGGTCACAGTCGGTTCTAGATTCAGAACTTATTACGATTTCGGATTTGTCGCACTCGATATAGTACACACTACCGTTTACGATTCTGGCGAATATACAGTCAGAGCTACTAATCATCTGGGTACCGCGCATACTTCTGCTTGCGTCAGAATTATCGGAAGATCTGACATCGTCACTGAAACACAAAATGAACAATCACTTGAGCAGATACAGATGTTGGAAGATGCATCAAGGTTTGCTTTTATTTATCGCCTTGTAATTCATATATCTTTCCATGATTATTTGTCTTATTTATTATTTCATTTGTGTATAGATATCGCAAAACTCAACACGAAGATGTCACGGTGATGCAAGCACCTCAGTTCACTCGACCTTTGCACAATATTGAAACGGTAGAATTGACCAATGTCCATCTCGAATGTCGCCTTCAACCAATTGGTGATGTTACTATGAAAGTCGATTGGTTCGTTAATGGTCGACCGGTCAAAACTGGTCACCGATTCAGACCATCTTACGAATTTGATTATGTGGCTCTAGATATTCTCGGCGTTTATCCTGAAGATTCTGGTGTATATACCTGTCAAGCTAGAAATCAGCTCGGTGAAGCAATTACTTCATGTTCTGTAAGAGTGCACGCCAAGAAAGATTTACTTCTAGAGTCTCAACATCCCGAAGGATTGGAAAGAATACAGTACTTGGAGGATGCGTCAAAATACAAAAGGCATGAATTAGTGGATGAAGTCGTCACTGTAAAGCCGAAATTTATTACAAAACCAAAAAACCAAGAAAATCTTCGAGAAGGACAACATGCACATTTCGAGTGCAAATTAGAGCCGGTAACGGATCCGAATTTAAAAGTCGAGTGGTTTAAAAATGGTCATCCAGTAACGATAGGTAATTTATTATTTCTTCTGTAATAGTAACATACGCGAATGAATCATATATTATCTAACTACATTTTTCTTTTCTCTAATGTTCAGTTCGCATCTATAAAATTATATTTAATCTTATACAAATCAATTTGCAGGACATCGCTTTCGTCCAATTCATGATTTTGGTTACGTTGCATTGGACGTAATTGATTTGATTGCCGAAGATTCAGGAACATACACTTGTCGTGCTGTTAATCTGGTAGGAAATGACGAAGTACTCTGTACTTTAACGTGTCGCTCGAGTGCACAAATATTAACGGACACGCAAAATGAGCTTGGACTTGAACAGATTCACTATCTTGAGGATAAATCCAAATATCAAAGACAAGAAGTTATTGAAGAAACTACCACTCAGGCGCCTATTTTCACAACTTCATTAAATAATGTCGAGATAAAAGAGGGCCAGCGAGCACATTTTGAATGTAGATTAATTCCAGTATCCGATGCAACAATGAAAATCGAATGGTTCCATAATAATAAACCAGTGAAAGCAGGCTCGAGATTCATTGAAACAAACAATTTTGGTTTTGTTGCTCTTGATATTATGTACGCGTACCCCGAAGATTCTGGGACATATACTTGCAGAGCTAAAAATATTATTGGTGAAGCTATCACTTCTGCAACCGCTATCGTTCACTGTAAGATTCGTCATTTAAAAGTTTATTCAATAATTTCTTCTAGTATCAATAGCATTAATTTTACTATTTTTTATCCATAGCTAAAAAGTCAATCTACACAGAGACTCAGAGCGAAGAAACTCTTCAACGTCTTCGCTCATTGGAGGACACGTCTCGTTATCAACGTAAAGCTACAATCGAGGAAATTATTACGCAAGCTCCTGTATTTACGATGCCGATAAAAGATCTTCGTGTTGCTGAGAATCAAGCAGCGCACTTCGAAGCACGTGTTATTCCAGTTGGAGATTCTAAACTCAGAGTAGAATGGTTACGTAATGGAGTTCCTATTTCAGCCTGTAAGCCTATATATTTTGTGAATTTATAATTTATATAACATGAAAGTATATCAGAATTATTTTTAAAATATTTTTTTAACAATTTTTAACTTTTCAAAAGCAAATCGAGTAACGACCATGCACGATTTTGGATATGTCGCTTTAAATATGAAATACGTCAATCCCGAAGATTCAGGCACTTATACGTGTCGTGCTACAAACGAACTTGGAGAAGCAGTTACTTCAGCAACATTGTTCGTTCAATGTAAGTATATCATGTTAATTTAATGCACAACTCAGGTATGTATTTACGTTTCACAATCTACTAATTTTAACTAATTTTAAGATAATCGATAATACTTATTTTTTATAAATTTGATAGATTATCCCGATATTAATTAACATTATTAACATTTACTTTAATTATACTTTTAATCTTATATCGTTAATCTGAAATGATGTTTGAAATTTTATACCGATTTGCCACATAACTGTCAATATGACATTTAAAAAAAATTTTATTCTTACTTTATTGATTTGATTATTAAACTTATTTGTTACTATCTACAAATAAGTATTGCGTATTTACTCGATATACTATGAGTCTACTGAAAACTTTAGTTGTTTCATGGAATACATTCAATGTATGATTTCTTTGGACGATTCGTACAATGCGCTATGTTAAAAATTCTTACAAAATGCAGCCAAGGCAGCGTTGCAGTTCGAATCACAACATGAGGGCGCTTTATCGAAACTTCAAGCTCTAGAGGATACTACAAAATATCAACGTCGCGAGGAGGAGGAGTTTGTGGTAAAAGATAAGCCATCCTTTACGGTACAACTGAACGGACCTACCAGTTTAGTCGAAGGACAAAGCGCACATTATGAGTGTCGCATAGAACCTTATCCTGATCCTAACATGAAAGTGGAATGGTTTCACAATGGCAAACCATTATCCACTGGTCACAGATACAGAACTACTTGTGATTTTGGATTCGCATCGTTGGATGTATTGACCGTATATGCCGAAGATTCGGGCACTTATGCTTGTCAAGCCACTAATAAATTGGGATCAGCGAAGAGCTCGATTAATCTTGATGTGAAGTGTGAGTAATACATGAGAACATTTGCATGATAACATAGGATTAATCGATTTCGTTGTGTATATAGCATATGTGCAGCATTTTTTTTAATTGTTAACTTTAATTTACACATTATATTTTATTCTTCTTTATCTTCTATGACAATTTAAGTTTTCTCTTCTTTATATTTCTTTGCATTAATTTAAATACAAATCTCTTTCTAGCTCGAGCATCAATTATTCATGACACGCAACACGAGAACGCATTGAAAAAAATACAATATCTTGAAGATGATTCAAGATACAAACGAGTGATCGAAGAAGATACGATCATCGCTGAGAAGCCCACTTTCGGACGACCATTGAAAAATATTGAGCATCTTCCAGAAGGCAAAAACGCTCATCTCGAAGCTACACTAACTCCTGTGAATGATCCGACAATGGTTGTCGAATGGTTTAGAAATGGACGTCCCATTCCTCAAGGACATAAATTTAAAACAACCTACGATTTTGGATTCGTCGCTCTCGATATTCTCTATGCTTATCCTGAAGATTCTGGTACCTATATGTGCAAAGCAAGAAATGCTGTAGGCGAAGCGATCACTACTTGTGTGATTAGCGTGGATTGTAAGTAATATTTTATATTTACACTATAATATATTCTCATAAACTATATTTAGTATGATCACCGTATATTCATTAAATAATGTCCTTTTTTCGTGGATTTTCAAAACAAACGAAAGAATACGAGATAAAGCGAGATAATTTTTCATATGTTTACTTTGCAAATTTACAAGTGCGAATGAAATTTTATATAACTTATTTTTTTACAATGGTTTTAATTATTAAAAATTATTAAAAATATGAATATATGATTTACTAATTATTTTAATTTAAATAGCAAAACAAGGCTTATGTCTCGATACGTTGGATGCACAACGTTTACAAAAAATTCGAGAGCTGGAAACTGTCGAAGTTAAAGAAGAAATCGAAAAAGAGGTTATTCATCAGAAACCTGTATTTTTGACACCGTTGAATAATCTGGATCATCTCAAGGAAGGCGAACACGCTCATTTAGAATGTCGTGTGGAGCCGATTAACGATCCGAATTTAAAAATCGAATGGTATACTCAATATTCAATACATATCACACACACACACACACAAAATGATATAATGATAATACAATGCTGAATAAGTCCTTGATTGAATTCTCTTTAATTTCATAGGTTTGTTAATGGAGTTGCGATTAAAACTGGTCATCGCTTCCGTACAACACATGATTTTGGTTATGTCGCTCTTGATATTCTTTATACCTATCCTGAAGATTCCGGTACTTACATGTGTAAAGCAACCAACCTAGTTGGCGAAGCCGTTAATACTTGCACTATCAAAGTCAGTTGTAAGTATCTACAATATCATGTTACTTAAATTGATACATTCTACTTGATATATTCTTACATGTTGGTTTTATGCTAATTGTTCTATATCAGCAAAAAATACACTCTATCCGAAGTCTAATTTTTCACTGATGAAGAACTCGACACAACATTCATATAAACAGCGATATAATTTATGAATAAAAAAAGACTATTTAAATAGTGCAATACCTTTATAAAGAAGATTTTCTTTGAAATCTATAAATTCTTGCAAACTCAAACAAGTTGTGTCTTGCAAACGACATAAAAATATTATACTTTAAAAAATCATTAACCATATTATATGATATTTCAAGAAACGTCAAATCGATAACTCTTTGGATCAAGATTGATCGTAAAATCAGATTTATTTTATTTAAAAAGTAAGCACAAGAACAAAATACATAATTATAATCTCTTTTTTTATCATAGCACGACGGAGTATTCTTTTGGATACCCAACATCCGGATGGTTTAGAGAAGATTCGAGAATTAGAGTCTCAGGGTCATCCTGCACGATTAGAAATTGAGGAACCGCCAGCAACACCACCGAGATTTGTCTCTGAGCTTAGGGTAAATAATAATAACAGTATGAATAATAATGAGAATGATAAAAAAGCAACTTATATAAATTATTGATGCCTATTATTGTGGCAAATATATAAAGCTCAATAAATGAAGTGAAGGAAGTGAATACGAAAAACTTTTTTAGGGTACCACTGAAGTATATGAGGGGCAAACAGCTCACTTCGAGTGTCAAGTAGAGCCTCTGCATGACGCAAATCTAAGAATCGAATTCTTTCACAATGGTAAACCATTACCATCGGCAGCGCGTTTCCATGTAACTTTCGATTTTGGATATGTAGCTTTGGACATTGGTCATGCCGTACCCGAAGATGCAGGAAAATATTCCGTACGAGCGATTAACGCATTAGGACAATGTGTATCATCAATCGAGCTTAAAGTAATCCCAAGAGATAACATTATTTTGGATTCTCAACGGCCGGAAGGAATGGATAAAATCAGGGAGCTCGAAGCGCAACAACCATGGAAGAGACCGGAGGTTCCAGAGCCTCAAACTCGACAGCGACCAGTCTTCACGCAACCACTGCAAAATATCGATAATATTACTGAAGGTCACACTGCGCATTTCGAATGCAGACTCATACCAGTAGGTGATCCTATGCTCAAAGTGGAATGGTTTAGAAACGAAGTGCCTCTTGAGACAAGTAAGAATTCCTAGATACAAAAGTTGAATATTAAAACGCAAAATATTAGTATAATTCTATAATACTGCGACAATATAATTCTCGCATGAAATAAATTTTTACTGTAATTTTTTTAGGTTCGCGAATCACAAAAGTGCATGACTTTGGATATGTATCTCTGGATATTGCTCATGTACGTGATAAAGATGAAGGAGTTTATATGTGCCGCGCATCTAATCCGTTGGGCGAAGCAGTTACCACAGCTTCAATGAAGATCAAAAGTAAATGATTTTTTTATCTATTTAACTAAAGCTATCAAAATTGATTTTTTAACGAGTAATCTTTAGTACGATTAATTATTTAATCTATTTAATAAATTTCTCATATTATTATATAACACATATAGCTAAGGCGAGCATACAGTTAGATACTCAGCACCCAGAGGCACAACGTAGAATCGCTCAGTTGGAAGCCAAGGAAGCCGGACGACCCGAGGAACCGGAAAAAGTGTTTGATAAACCGATTTTCACGCAGTTATTAACTGGACCAACGGAACTTTGGGAGGGACAAATGGCTAGATACGAATGCAGAGTCGTTCCTGTCGGCGACGCGAGTTTAAGATTCGAATGGTATATGAACGGAATTGAATTAAAAATGGGTAAGATATAAATTCTTTAACATTAAATTACTATTATAATATCGCAGGTATGTAAAATTAACAAAATCATTGTGCATCGATATTTAGGGTCACGTTTTCACGTAAATCATGATTTCGGGTACGTAACATTGGACATTCTAAAAGTTATCCCTGAAGACTCTGGAGTCTATACTTGCAAAGCGATTAATAATGCAGGAGAGGCAATATCATCGATCTCTTTGAAAGTAAAAGCGCGTTCAGCCATCGATTCCGAGAGCATACAAACGGATGCGTGGCAGAAGATTCAATTGAAAGAAGCAGAAATGAATAAAGTGCCAGAAATGCTTGTCGATACAACTCCACAGCAGGCACCAGTTTTCACCAAACATCTCGAAAGTTTCGATAAATTGATGGAGGGTCAACATGTCTATTTAGAAGCTCAGGTGGAACCGCGGGCGGATCCTAATTTGAGAGTGGAATGGTTTAAGAACGGTATAATTCTCCAAACTGGAACGAGGCTTCGTAGTACGTTTGATTTCGGTCTAGTAACACTATCGATCAACGGACTAAGACCAGATGATTCCGCAATTTATACATGCAAAGCAACTAATCTTTTGGGAGAAGCAGTGTCAACTTGTAGTTTGAAAATTGCCGATCGTCATTGGTTATTGGGAGATACTTTGCATCCTGATGCTCTATCGAAAATCGATGCTTTGGAACAGCCTCAGAGAATCTCTACTGATCAACCGGAACCTATTTACGAAGAACCAGTTTTTATCACTCATTTAAATAATGTAGAATGCATCGAAGGTGATAACGCTCACTTCGAATGCAATGTAGAACCGTCGAAAGATCCAACTATGAAGATTGAATGGTTTTTGAACAATAAATCTTTGCCGACTGGTGCGAGATTTAAAAGCACTTATGATTTTGGTTATGTAGCTATAGACTTAACTCACGCTTACGAAGAAGATTCTGGAGTTATTACTGTTAAAGCTACAAATTCAAAAGGAAGTGCACAGACATCTGGTACTTTAAAATGTACTAGCAAGCAAAATATTTATCTTCAAACGCAACATCCACAAGGAGAAGTCGGACTTGAGAAAGTAAAAGAAGCCGAAGATGCTTATCTATCAAAATATAAAAGACCAGAAGAAATTCCTGAATATGAATATCCTAAACCGATCTGGACGGTGCCTCTCGGACCTGAATTTAAATTGGGAGAAGCTGAACCATTACATCTAGAGGGACAAGTTGAGCCAAAGGATGATCCTAATTTAAAGATTGAGTGGTACTTTAATGGAAAACCTTTAGAACATGGTTCACGCTTTAAAATGACTAGCGATTTTGGATTTGTCACTTTGGACTTAACGGACGTTTATGAGCGTGATTCTGGTATTTACACTTGTAAGGCCTATAACAAAGCAGGCGAAGCTTTCACTTCAACGACGGTTTATTGTTCTACGAAAGAAAATATCATTGAAAGGTCGCAGCATCCCAAAGGCAAAGAAGGTCTTGAAGCAATTCAAGATCTGGAGGAATCTTTGAAACGGCAAGAAGGAGCTCCTCTAGGAGAAGAAGAAGGTCAACCACCAATGTTTACATCGCAATTCGAGAATTTGACTAATCTCTCGGAAGGAGAGATCGCTCACTTTGAAGCATCTCTGATCCCTACTGGTGATCAAACTATGGTAGTTGAATGGTTTTACAATGGCAAATCTTTAGAAGCTAGTCATCGCACGAGAACCGTTTACGCTTTCGGCATGGTTGTTCTGGAAGTTCTCGGTACTAAAATAGAAGATTCAGGTACTTATTCTTGTAGAGCTACTAACAAATGGGGTAAAGCAGAAATTAGCGTGCAATTAGAATGCATTGACAAGTCCAAGGGACAAAAACCTAAATTTACAACGCAAATTCAATCTTTGGAAGGTTTAAAGGATGGCCAATCAGCTCACTTTGAGTGTACTCTAATCCCAGTAGGTGATCCTCATATGAAAGTCGAATGGTTCCATAATGGAAAACCTCTACGGCATTCGTCACGTTTCAAGATGGTCTCTGATTTCGGCTTTGTAGTAATGGATATCGCCGGTGTGATGTCTCACGACAGCGGAGAATACGTTTGCAAAGCTAACAATAAATACGGCGAAGATTATACAAAAGCTACGATCAAGTGCTTTGGCAAGAGCGGAGTTTACTTAGATTCTCTACAGCCGGATTCGCTTGCTAGAATTCGAGAACTCGAAAGTTATACGGGAGAACAAACAACTACATCTACGACTCCTATCGCTGAACCACCGAAATTTATTACGCAGATCGCGAACATAACAAAACTGGTAGAAGGGCAGTCCGCACACTTCGAGGCTAGGCTGACCCCAGTGAACGATCCCGATTTGAAAGTCGAGTGGTATTACAATGGCAAGAAACTTCCTCACGGTCATCGATATCGCACTTTCCATGACTTTGGTATCGTTATCCTAGATATACTCTATTGTTACGAAGAGAATTCTGGAGTTTATGAATGCAGGGCTATCAATAAATATGGTGAAGATTCTACGAGAGCAACGCTCAAATGCTTCTCTAAAGCTAATCTTGTTTTGGAATCGCAACTTCCAAAGGGCATGGAAGGCGGCTTAGAAAAAATACAAAATCTCGAAGACTCAATGATACGTACGAAAGATGAAAAAATTGTAGAAGAACGAGGCAAAGCTCCTATGTTTACTGTACCTTTGAGTAATGTCGATGGTCTACGAGAGGGAGAAAGTGCGCATTTCGAGGCTCGAGTAATTCCTACGGACGACCCAAAATTAAAGGTAAATTAAATTTCATTTAATTTTAGTATAATTTATAATAATTATTTTGTATAGCATACGCATATAAATACTCATATATATATATATATATATATACATTTTATTGGATATTATATTGTTCTTTTTGATATAGGTCGAATGGTTTTGGAATGGTAAACCATTGCGAACAGGATCTCGCTTCCGCACTTTTTGCGATTTTGGTTTCGTCATTTTGGAAATTTCTCCTATCTACCCTGAAGATTCTGGCGAATATAGTTGTAGAGCAACAAATGACTACGGTGAGGCCGTGACAACGTGCACAATGAAATGTACGGGCAAACGCAGTATTATTTTGGAATCTCAGTTACCCAAAGGTATGGAGAGTACAATTGATAAGATTGCTGAGTTGGAAGGTCTTGGAGCTGTTTCGGGTCAGATCAGTCCCGAGGACGATACTGGTAGACCGCCAGAATTTATCACGACTCCTTCTGACTTAACTTTGACTGAAAATTCTCTTGCTCATTTCGAATGCCGATTACAACCAATTAACGATTCTAGTATGAGAGTCGAATGGTTCCACAACGGTAAACCTCTTCTCGCTGGTAGTAGAGTCAAAACGATTCATGACTTTGGTTTCGTCATTCTAGAAGTTGCAAATTGCTATCAACGCGATTCCGGCTTATATACTTGTAAAGCCACCAATCGTCATGGTGAAGCCACAGTATCATGCAAGCTTCAAGTTCGCGGACGTCAAGGTATCATTCTGGAGCCTCAATTACCGAATAATTTTAAAACTGGTACAGAAAGCATTCAAAAATTGGAAGAGTCCCTATATAAGAAGGATGAGATTTTGGCGGAAGAAGAAATGCCGAATCCGCCAAAATTTATTGTCGAACTTAAAGATATTGAAGTTGAAGAAGCTGGACCGAGTCACTTCGATTGTAGAGTCGAGCCTGTGGGTGATCCTACTATGCGTATTGATTGGTTCCACAACGGACGGCCCTTCGCGACAGGTTCTCGTGTCCATCAAATTAATGATTTTGGATTTATATCATTGGATATGTCGTATACATATGCACGAGATAGCGGCGAATATGTCTGCAGAGCTACCAACAAATGGGGTTCTGCTACTACCAAGGCTGCCATTACTTGTAAATGTAAGTTGCATATTTCGATCTTAAAAATGTAGATATATCTTAATTATTATAGTATAAAACAGAAATAATTTCTTATTTCATTCTCTTTTATAGCCAAGAAAACAATAGATTTTGATTCTCAATTACCAATGGGAATGAGTGGTGAAAAGTTAAAAGAATTGGAACGAGGACCGGTCTCTCAAGCTCCTGCGGAAGAAGCACCTCAACAACCGCCTCATTTCATCACGCAAATCCAATCAACAACTGTCGACGAGGGTGAACCAGTCAGATTCGAATGCCGTGTAGAACCCAAAGAGGACTCGAATCTACACATCGAATGGTATAGAAATGGCAAATTGATACCTGCTGGGCACAGATATAGAACGGTTTACGATATGGGATTTGTATCTATGGATATCTTATATGTTTATCCTGAGGATTCTGGTGAATATGTTTGCAAAGCCATCAATAATCTTGGAGAAGATACCACTCGAGCTGCTGTATCTTGCAAGAGTATGTTATATTTTAATCTTTTATTAGTTTTCATTGTTCAAGCTAAATCAGTTATATCAAAGAGGACTTATCAAATAAATTTTTTTTTCACAGAATTACCAAGCATTATTCTACAAAATCAAGTACCAAAAGGTATGAAAAAATCGGAAGCCTTGATGCAGATGGAAGCGACAATTAAAAAATATACTTCGGAAATACATTTAACCGAAGACGATCTATATGATGCGGATAAAAAACAGCCGCCTCGTTTCGTCACGCAAATTCAAGATCAGACCGATCTTGTTGAAATGAATAGTACCAAATTTGAATGCCAATTGGCACCTGTGGGTGATCCAAATATGAAAGTCGAATGGTTCTTTAACGGGAAACCATTACCTCATAAGAATCGATTTACGCCTATTTATGATTTTGGCTATGTAGCAATGAATTTTGGTTGGGTTTATCCAGAAGACAGTGGCGAGTATTTATGCAGAGCTACGAACCTTTATGGAATGGACGAGACCAGAGCTATAATCAAAACTGCGGGAAAACCAGGAATTATCTATGAGTCTCAACTTCCAAAAGGCATGAAAAGCATCGAGAAAATCAGAGAAATGGAAGCGGCATGGCAAATGTAAGATATTATTTTACACTTCATTTATTGTGTATAAGAAAAATAATTTCTTTGACTGATAAAATTATTAAAACATAAAATTTATTTTATACATATCTTAAGATATTGTTTCCAAGAAAAAAGACTTTTCAAAAGAAAAAAAATTGTTTTCTTCAAGTATTTATTTGTCCATATGACGAAAAATCATCAATATAAAATGATAATATGTATTATTTAAAATATCAAACCTTAGAGTACCCGAAGAAGAAAGTGAACAAGAAAAAATACGCTCGGCGCCTATTTTCGTGAGCAAACCGGAACCGGTAATTGTCGAAGAAGGTGACTGGTCTAGATTCTGTTGTCGAGTCACTGGTTATCCAAGACCTCGAGTTATGTGGATAATCAATGGACATACGGTAGTCAATGTAAGTTTCAAAATATCACTTGCAATACATTAAATGATGCTTCTGGCCAAAATATATTCATCATAATGTAATTATATTAAATTTGTCCCCTTTTTCACGCAGGGATCCCGCTATAAATTAACGTACGATGGCATGTATCATCTAGATATACCAAAGACGAGACAGTATGATCACGGAAAAATTGAAGTGATTGCAAGAAGCTCCGTTGGCGAAGCATGTACAGAAACAACTCTAACGGTGAAGCAACGAAGCGACGATTACCGCGGTGTATTGAAAAATTCACCAAGGCGTAAGTTTTCGCTCCTATCATATAAATATATGGCCATGACTTCTTCGTGTCTTACAATGAAATAAAGTATATTTTTATAGAACAATGAGATTGTATAAGCAAAAGAAATATAAAAATTGAATATAAAAATTGTAAATTTAATTAATTAATTATTAACTTTCTATAACTTTCTTGAAAAGTACGAAGAATTTATGCGCAGTAACAATTTGAATGGATTACAATAATACAGATATATCACACGTGAAAATGAAAAGAAAAAACGGTTGTAAATCTCCAATAACGATTCGCGAAAGGCGAGCGTAGATTGGAAATATCGAGCAACCGAAACGCAGTACATTTTCTATATATCGATACGACACATGCATTCGAATACAGAGAACACTCTAAACTATTCGAACATAAATGATTCCTTTTTTCCTACTTTCCACATTTGGCAATCCAAAGCCACAAAAACCATCTCAAATCCGACAGCTTCTTCTGCTTCTCCTTCTTCGTCATGGTTGGAAATATCAACGGGAATATTAGAGCAACTTAGGTCAAAGGTATCGTATCTCTCACTTCATTCAGGTATGAAAAATATAATCGTCGGAAAAACGTTAATATTGTCTTATATTTTATTAATGTTTTTTTTTTCTTATAAATACGATCATATATTGTTGCGCTGGAGAATACGAGGGGTTTATTGCTCATTAGTGTGTTTCATTCAATCTCAATTTATTTACTTCTTATGTTTATACTTAACCCTTAATCTGTATTTAAGATATTTGTTTAAGATAAATATACTGAGGAATCCGCTCCGATGACTTTAACCTTGACATATGTAGTCAAGATCATGATCCTAAAAGTGATCTCCAACAGGTTTTAGCCATCGTTATTCGTTATTCGTTAAAAAGTTTTTAACAGAAAAAGTTCCGCTATAAAACAAAAATTCTCTGCTTTAAAATAAATTTTCTACTTTAAAAACAAAAATTTTCTTTGAAAACATTATTTTCTTATATAAATTTTGTTTTTAAAATAGAAAATTTATGATTTTGTAAAGACGTTTTATTCAAAATAAAGCTCTATCTCATCTTCCTCCCTGCCTAAAGATGACTTTTGATGAAGGTGGACCTTACTTCGCGTAGAAAGTTGAACTTTCTCAGACAGGGAAGAAGAGATAAGGTGGACCATTTACTTTATTTAATATTTATTCTTATTCATTGTACTATAGGCACTCTATATTTTTTGTTCCCTTACTGTTATATAAAATAATTCATGTCCGGTATTGTTTGTAGAAAATGCAAATATCGAACAGATTCCGTATTTCTCATCAATATTGCGCAATCAATGTATAATTTGATCTTAATTACTATCATGTGTTTAATTTGCTGTTTTTCTTGCTTTTTTGTTTATCTTTTCCTTTTTTTTTCTTTTTGAATATGCGTTTTCTATTAGATGTGGGAAAAAGTTCGTTAGATGTAACGGAAAAAACGCCACAAACTTTTTCCCGCACCTAATATATTATCCATCCTTTAATGTCTCGTACGAAAAGTAGCAAGCGGTTGTATATTAACTTAATTAATTCGTCGAAAAAAAAAATGAAATTCGACGATTTGCGTAAAATTACTTAGTTAATCAAACGAAGGAATTTTGTGATTCAGAATATTATATATGTTCTCTTTAAATTGAAAAAAAACCTTCTTATAATACGAAGGAGAGCACGTACATAAGAAACAAATAATTTAATCTAACAATATTTTTGATAATATGTGAAAACAAAATAATTTCAGATATGTATTAACCATGCGAATTTTCCATACCCAGCTCGATTCCTATTATCTGTCATCTAAGTGTCGTCGATATGTGTTGTATCGTCGTTCACGTACTGTGTCTTAGGTATCGTGATTTTCGAGATTTTAGATATTTTTGTTTCTTGATTAAGAGAAACGCAATGTTGCTTTAGTGAGGTTTCTGAATCTGATCTTGTAATAAATTATAATGTAAATGATTCATTACATTTTCAAGGGAAAATGTATGCAAATGCTACATAATACCTCACTGAGAGGGACGCTGTATTCGCTAATTAAGAATCCAAAATTAAACCAATCCATGATACGTCCATATGCGTTCTTCTTTATGAGATGTACGAAATACGAGAGCACATAGATATCATGTATTGTTTCTTTCTCTAGCCTGGTACGATTATGGACTAACACAGTACCAGACCGAGCGGCAAAATACAGAATTGGAGCGTGTGTTCGACGAACGTCATCAAAGTGTTTCCCAAGGAATCGAGATTGCCACAGAGCATCTTGGCCCTAAAATTATTAAAGAACCAGACACTGAGTGGCAGAAATCCGTCAAGAGCAAGAAAAATGAAGATTATTATAATAAGTTGATGAATCTCGAAGAGGAACAAGTGCTTAAAGAGACCAGGTTAAGAGAAGCTTCACATCAATTTGCTATTCCTGGTGATAAAGTCGTTACACATTCCTTAGCAAAGGGAATGGCTCAAAAGTATGAAGAAAGTTTGTAAGTATATATTACAATAAATATTTAATAATATTGGCAATCTATATTCAAATATTTAGTGATAATATTTGATAATTTCTTATTATAGAGAAGAACAACCGCAACAAGAACTTGTACAAGCATCTCCGAAATATGTAAAAAAACCATTTGTTACCGAAGTGGATATAGATACAGAACGCGTTAAAGCCACGGGAAAATATCCTCCGGAACCATCTGAATCTACAGTTCATGGTCGCGAAGTTCATGTTGCAAAACAAAAACAAATACAAAAAGAAGTCAAAGGTGATGTAGAAATAACGAGAAAAATTACAGCAACGGAGACAACAGAAGTAGAACATAAAGCGAAAACACAAGAACGCGTGGTGCAAGGTCAAGTCAAACCTGCCAAACCTCCTATTTTTACAAAGAAGATTCAACCTTGTAGAGCATTTGAGCAAGAACAAGCGAAATTTGAAGTTGAATTTGATGGTGATCCACTACCAACTATCAAATGGTATCGCGAAGATTTTCCTATACAAAATTCAGCTGATCTTCAAATTTATACCTTCAGCACCAAATCGGTGTTAATTATCAGACAAGTTTTTATGGAAGATTCTGGTGTCTTTTCTGTTATCGCTGAGAATAGAGGAGGAAAAGCCAAATGTAGTGCCAATTTAGTCGTAGAGGAACGCAGAAGGCAGCCTGGACGAGGTGGCACGGTACCACCCAGTTTCTTATCCACAATCCAATCTGCTTCTGTTACTACCGGACAACTCGCTAGATTTGATGCCAAAATTACCGGCACTAAACCTTTGGATGTTTATTGGCTCAAGGTAAAATAAGTAAAATACATATAAAATGTATATGTGCTATAAACTTGCCGATTCGATTGATGATTTTATACATAGCGCATAGTGAACAGAAAATTTAAATTAATTTACGTTTGAATCTTTTTTATTATAGAACGGCAAAAAGATAATAGCGGACATCCGTTATAAAACTTTGGAAGAAGATAATATTTATACACTTCTGATTCTCGAGACAATATCAGAAGACATTGGCAAATATGAATGTGTTGCGATTAACAGTGCTGGAGAAGCACGTTGCGAAGCGGAATGTACTGTTCGCGGACCTCAATCTCCAACAAAGGTCACAAAACCTACAACACCAACAGTAGAAAAAGCGCCAACTGTTCTAGAGCCATTAAGAGATCAAATCATTAAGGAAGGAACTTCAGTCGCTTTCGCTTGTAGAATCGCAGGAAAGCCTATTCCCACTATACAGTGGAAAAAAGCTGATAAAGTATGTATAATGAAATAATAGCTACAATAAAATAACTGTGACATAATGAATTTTTAAAATAATTTTATTCGCGAATGCTTACATTATTTGTGTAGGTAATCAAACCGTCGAAGTATTTTCAAATGCAAAAAGAAGGCGATTTCTGTACTTTGAGGATTTCTGAAGCCTTTCCCGAAGATGAAGGTGTTTATAAATGTATTGCTAAAAACCCCGCTGGTGAGGTCACAACGTCTGCCAATCTCAGAGTTCTCGGTAAGACAAAAAAAAATTCAAATTCAATATTTTTAAAAATTTTTTATCAACGGCATAAAATATAATAAATATCAAAAAATAAAAAGTTCAAATTCGATCTTTTTAAATTTTTTATTAACGACATTGACGCATCATTTTCAATTAGCGCCCGATACAATTGATGTCCTGGCAAAATTGACTCCTTTGAAGGATCAAATAGTGATAGAGGGACAACCAGCTCAATTTAAAACTCAAGTGAGTCTGGCAAAGCCTAAGCCAACAATTCAGTGGTATCGAGAGGGTGCCTTGATCCCACAATCACCAGATTTTCAGGTAAATATTTTGCCATTATTCTTCCATATCATCGAAGGAGATTTTATGTTTAGACATGATATTCAGGGAAGACATGGCACATATCATTTTCAGATGATTCATGAAGGGAACAATGCGGTGCTGTTGATAGCAACTACCTACGAGGAGGATACTGGTACTTTCACTTGCCGCGCTACAACTTCAGCCGGTACCGTAGAAACATCTGCCAAACTCATCGTCAAAAGTAAGAATTGAATAAAAGATATAGAATCGATTGCTAACATGACACACGATTGTTCTTATATTATACTCCAACAACTGCCGGAGATAAATACTCGAGACAGTAGCATGACAACAATCAATTAACAAATTAATAATATTAGCGAATTGTTTGTTAAATCTTGAAAAAGGTTATTCTAACTTTTTTAGTTTGTTGTACTTCTTGTTGTACATTGATTAAATCGGTAATAATCTCGTGGGAATTATAGATTAGTAGTTTTCAAGATGTCAAAAGAATTAGCTGCTTTTCAATGGCGCATGATACAGCAATAGATATAAAACGGATGTTGAATAAAATGATCATTGAATTTTTACAATATCAAAAATTTTTACAATATCGCAATTGATCATTGCTAATGTATACATTAATTTTCGTCTAATGTGTTTATTGCGACTAACGTCTTTGAGACGACATCGTCTCAAAGTCTTACAACGTCTCCGCGCAGCACGATTCGCCGTAAATATCCGCCCATATTTTTATTTTTGTGCTTTATTATTGCCTTCCTTAAAAAAACGTAACCTACCGACCTTGCTAGAGTTCTCAACTTCCATCTCAAACAGATCTCCTGTAATTAAAAATGACGTGCGCGTCCGGGGAGTTTGTGTACTAACTATCATATTTTGAGAATAGTTGAGCGAGTGAAACGAGGAATAATTAATAACAATAAATTATTATTAAGAAACTTGTTCAGATTATTGCATTATAAAACTACAAATTTCGCGCGCAAAAATTATCTTAAGAATTATATCACTTAAGTAAGAAAATCACGAAAGTAATGCTAAAATTAAAGTGCTGTAAAAGCAAAATTAAAATAAAAATCGAAATTGTTTGTAATGTAATCGATCAGGACAAGTGCGATCATTTTTTAAGATTAATACAATATAGATGATTGGTAGAATGAAATGTCGTTCCACTTGTATTGCCAATATTTTGATTTGCTTCTTAGGATAAAAATGATGTTCGCTTTTCACAAAGAATATTATAACTTTGTAAATAGAAAAATCAAAATTGGAAATTTTGCGCGACATTAATCAGTATGGATAAAAACAAAAGAAAAATAGCAATGCAACTGCGTTGAATATATGTAACTCGTTTACTCGTTCGCTGTATAATTTTGATGTTGATTATAAAAAGTATATCGTAAAAAAAAT